GGGAAACTAAGTTTTTGGGACATTTGCATTTGCAAAAACTTAAACCGACCATATTGGGTGTTGGTGAAGACGATGACGACTTCGATGATAAAAATGCCGAAGCTTATTCTGAATTAATCCAGTTTCTCGACGACAAAAGTTTGAGTTTGGTCATGAGAGAAGCCCCTGATGATGGGAGACAAGCGTTGAAGATTTTACGCGCATATTATGCTGGTAAAGGAAAGCCACGTATTATCAGCCTTTACACGGAATTGACCAATCTCCAAAAAGCGAGCAGTGAAAGTGTAACGGAGTATGTTATACGTACAGAGACTATCATAACAGCGCTACGGGGCGCTGGTGAAACAATGAGTGATGATTTGCTAATTGCAATGGTGTTAAAAGGACTACCGGAGTCATTCAGGCCGTTCGCCATACATATAACCCAAAGTGACGACACATTACAGTTTTCAGACTTTAAAGTGAAGTTACGGTCATTTGAAGACACGGTGAAAATGTGTGTACAGTCAGCTGAAGATAACGTAATGAAGATAAAAGCCAAAGAATCTGACTGGCACGAAAACAACACCGCTACGAACATTGTTTGTTTTAAATGCGGCACAAAAAGGACACAAAGCCAGAACGTGTCAGCGCAGGCAGTGGTGCAGTTTTTGTAAAAGTGCCACACACAAGGACGCAAACTGCAGACGGCGCCGACAAGATAATATAAGACAAGTCGCTGAGGAGGAGAGCACCGCTTATGCTTTCCTGACCCCAAGACGTGGAGAGTCACCCAGAAGGACGTGTCAAGAGGGGACTGATGGTCGACACTGGAGCAACGTCCCACATCATTACCGAGGAGTCGATGTTCAGAAGCTTCGATGAGAACTTCAGATCGGAGACCCACTGTGTGGAGCTCGCAGATGGAACCAGGTGCCAGGGAGTGGCCAAGCAGCGGGGTGATGCTGAGGTGTTCCTGATCGACAGCAGTGGTCAGCGCCATGCAGCAACACTGAGGGGAGCACTGTTCATCCCCGTCGTACCCACAGAACATCTTTTCTGTGAAGGCAGCCACATCTAGTGGGCAACGATGGTCTTCAAGGAGGGGAAGAACTCCCTCATTCACAGAGACGGTACTGTTTTTTTCCAATCAGTGTGAAAAATAAACTGTACTACCTCGCTACAGCAATAGGAGGTAAGGATAACACTTAATGGGTGTTTTGATCTACAGACATGGCATGAAATACTTGGACATTGTAATCATGAAGACGTACAAAAGCTACCAAAAGTGGTTAGAGGTATGACTATTAAAGGTAAAATGGAGAAGCCTATTCCACCATGTGGAAGTGTGCATCCAGGGAAAGTTTGTTCAAACAAGGAGCAGAGAAGCTGATGCACGTGCCACAGATGTGTTACAGTTAGTACATACAGATCTTTGCAGGGCCAGTAGATCCCATGTCCAAAGAGGGCTACAGATATGCCTATCATTCACTGATGATTTTTCCAGTGCAGTTTTTGTTTATTTTCTTAAACAAAAGAGTGATACAGTAAATGCAACAGAGAAGTTTCTAGCTGATACTGCCCCCTATGGGGAGATTAAATGTATCAGATCTGATAATGGGACTGAGTTCACATCAAAAGAGTATCAGTCATTATTAAAGCAAAACAGAATTAGACATGAGACCTCTGCGCCGTATTCTCCACACCAAAACGGCACAGCAGAGCGGAACTGGCGGACATTATTTGACATGGCCAGGTGTATGATCGTCGAAAGTGACCTGCCAAAATCATTGTGGCCTTATGCTGTACAGACAGCAGCTGTAGTCAAAACCGGTGTTTTAATAATCGCACAAAACAAACACCGTACTTTATGCTGACGGGGAACAAACCAGATGTTTCCAAAATGCAAAAATTTGGCTCTGTGTGTTTTGCTTACAAGCAAGACAAAAAGAAACTTGACACAAGATGTGAAAAAGGAGTGTTCATTGGATATGAAGCAAATTATTTTGATCTCTCTGGCGTGTGACCTGGGGGTCACGAGTGATATCCCACTAGCGAAGTCCTAAGGGACGTAGCACCATGACGTAGAATTGTATTTTTGTAAAATGTACCTTGTTGCAACAGTGGTTTCTGGACTTGGTTTTACCTTGTGCTTTTCAGAATTAGAATTTTGTTTTTGCTCTATCTGAGGCTATGGTGCCAAGTCCCCGGTTTTATATGCATTTATTTTTAATTACTATTCAAACAAGGTTTCTAAACTCTAAATATATGGAAAGTCAGGGGTAACAACGTTTCAGAATTTTTTTTTTACAATTTATTTAGAACACAACCAACAGTGTGACAGCAAGATGTACCTCTAACAATCTTGTGACATGTGGTTTTATACTACACAAATTATTGGGTTTCTTAGTGTTGGAAATGTGTATTTATAATTATACTGTCCTCTGTTGTCCATATTTAATGTGACGGTGTTTCTGTAGCTACATAAAAAAACATGCAAAGCCTAAATTAATTGAATATAACATGTATAATCTTGTTATTCGGTATGGATACATTACAATACAATTGTTAATAATCCCATATCAACATGTATCCATTATCAACCTGACAGACCAGTTGTAAGCTGTAGAGTTGTACAGCTGTACATACTTATTATTTATTTTTTAAATCAAAACTTAACAAAAGCATTTCCATAAGTGATTGCGTGAGAAAGTATCACAACACATCACCATATCGATATATTGCCACACTCCTACCTATAGCACCAGCCCCTCACTGATACTCCTGCAGGTGGTGGCTCCACAAAGGATGGCTGTGAAGTGAAAGGTAAATGATACCATGATTTTTATTATGTATATGTAATATATAAATATATATATGATTTTAGTGTATTAGTATATATACAATTTTAGTTATACATTTACTGTTCGTTATTGTTGAAGCTGTTCCCACGCTTACATTTCGTCACAAAGGCCTGTGCACTGGATGAAAATGCCATTTTAAATTCAGTAAATACAAACTTGAACCGTTTGTACTTGTTTGTAAAATTCTCCTAATATAATGATAAATAACAGGGACACACATTGGCTTTGCACCGTTTATTACATGACCAAGTACAAAATACAGTTCAACTATACATTTCTATATATTCTAAAATGTAATCCAGAAAATGCACAAAAATAAGTAAATAGTTCAATAAAAAATTACAATTCAGAGCAAAAAAGTCTAGACAGCTTTACAAAACATCACATAGAAACGACTGTATCCAAAGCACTTCAGGGTCTGACTGACAAGAGGAAACCAGAATATCAAAAGAAAAAGAAAAACGGCTTAGACATCTGTAAATGCATTTATTTAAATAGAATGAAAAATGACTTAAACAGTGAACATATAATTGATTCAGTAATTACAATTCAATCTGGTCACGCGCACACACTTTCTACGTTGTATAAGAAATTATTATTTGTAGAGATTTATTATCCCACTTAGATTTGTTAGTTTTGAAGAGAAAGACTAGAATCAAAGTGGGGGACATAAAGTAAATTCCTGGGGTTTTGACTATATTGTTTATCAGTACGTGCTGTGTCATCATTCTACATTTCAGAATCATCTGATCAGTGTAAATGTGAAGTCCAAAAAACACCACAAAAATAAACGTTTTCAATTTAGCTTTTATGTGCGGAAATATTTTCTTTAATCACAAATTCTCCTTCCAGTTTGTGCATATATTATTATAAAGATTTGATTGAAAAGTGACAGTAGCTACATTTTAAACGGTGGCCTTGTGTCAGAAGGAAATACATTCTGAATATACAAAAAGCAAAAAGTAGGAATCCTCTGAGGTAATGTTCTGTTTGATGAGAAACTTATCACAAAACATATTATATTTTCCAAATTTCATCCCAAAATTTTGGCCAAATGCACTTTCTGCAGCGTTAAGTCAAATAAAGATCATTGATTTTTGCAAACATAATTATTTCAATTATAATTTTATTTACATGGGCAACCTACAGAACCTCTAATATTCACATGTCTAATCACTGTCTTCATGCAAGCTGGGGTGGATTATCTTGGCTAAGGAGAAGTGCTCTTTGAAAGGTCATCTGGAACTGTGTAACTTTGAGGGTTCTTTGTGTACCATATTTTCTCGTGTCAAGACATGTCTGATGGATAAATTTGCTTATATTGAATGAAGTAAAAATATGTTTGTGAAGTAACTATTTCTCATCATAGATCAGGTGATACTTAATATGATATTATAATATGGATAATTCAATATTCAGTATATTCAGAATGAAAACTAGACCAAATGAGTAGTCTCAATAAATACAAGTAATCCACACACTATGAGTATTTGCATGTGAATATCGGTAATCTTTTTCTGAACTTCAGAACCACCACTTTTTTCCTCAGTGAGGAGTCTTGCAATGGGCGCGGAGGGAAAGGCAGCTGAGGGTGGCGCACTCCACCAAACTACCGTCGCCAGTCTGATTTCAAGAATTGAACCTGAGACATCTTTTGTGGTGAGACGGTAAGTGACTTTTCCACAAAGTCATTTAACGTTTGTTTGAGTTTGTAGTCTAAAGGAGGGACACACAACCTTTCAAACTCTCAAGAAATGTACATCTGAGATCCATGTTATTTTATTCTAACTTGTTTGCACCGAGAGCTAAAGCAATTTGCTTGTTTGTGACTTCTTGTTACTCACAAAATTCTGATTCTGATGTTACGAACTTAAAACAGATAAACACAAAAAGTACATTTGGCCTCAACTCACGCTCTGCTTTTATCTGACCACTCAAATGGCACTGGCTCAAATGGTTGATCCCTCCAGCGGCCACGGTGGAGGTGGTTGGTGATCTAAGGCACTCCCAATGACACTGGTACGGCTAGGTCGCAACACGCATGAAAAAACTCCACTAACGAGGAAACAACTGCACAAAGTCATTTACCGTTTAATCCAAAAGGCTAGAATATCCGCGGCGAGTAGCAGCGCTTGCGTGTTTCTGTGGGCTGGGGGCTCACATCTCCTGCAGAGTGTTGCTGAGCTCGATCCTCTCCCGCTTCACGGCTGGCTCGTTGGGGTCCCGTGAGGCGTCTGCATCACTTCCCATGTCACTGGTCTCATCGGAGAAGGAGGGGTCTGAGGGAGGAGAGAACGTGGTGAGCTGTCACTTTTGTTCTGTCACAATCTCTATGAAACGGCCGTTTAGCTTTGATTACAGCTCAGCTTACAAAACACTGGTGCCAACCGGATCTCACTCCTAGAGCAAGTTGCGTGTAAACGTGTGTGCTACAATACTACTGCGACAAGGCCAGCAGATGCATTTAACAATGGCCTGCCAATGACTGATCATTGGCAGGCCATCATCATTAATCATCACCGCCATTGTCCACTCTATAATACATGTATGGGGTTTGGCTGTAGAAAACTTTTTATTGAGCCATCAAGTGGCTGGTCTGAGCACCATATGCAGGATCAACAGAGGCATGACAAGGTGAGAAATATCAAAATGTTGATGTTTTATAGAATGTTAGAAAATGAACCTGTACTTAAGTCTCTTTTCTGCATGATGTGTTTGTTTTCACCAACACATCATTGTCTCATCTTTTTTTCCTGAAACTGGTGATTTCATAAATCCTTCCTCTACTCGTCTGGGGATTACAGTCAGGGAAAATCATCAAAAACGGCAGGCAAAGAGTTAAGAGCATGGCTGTTTATATCAGAGATGCACACAAGTGTCTGACCCGCAATTCCAAGTCAAGTCCAAGTCCCTAGTCCAGGAGTCCAAGTTAAGTCCAAGCTCTTAGCTCTTTTGGCTGTTTTCAAGTGTCTTCTTCCTGCTCTGACCCTTTTATGTCCCCAGCACCACTGTGCTGCCCCCTGCTCAGGTTTTTGGCAGAACCAAAACCAACCAATCAATGTTCATTCTGTGCGTTGTCACTGGTACCATGAGTCAACGCACCTGCCGTGCTACAAGAACATGATTATTCGCGCTGACGTTCTACACCATTAACTTTGCATGTAAACCTGCCGCACCACTTGGTTTGGTGGGAACAGGATTTAGAAGGGGTGACAGTGGTTCAGTTGGTAGAGCATTGGCCTTAGAGCCTGAGGATCGTGGGTTCGAGCCCACCACAAGACCTACTTCACGACTCCCACTGATAACTGCTGTCGTTGTGTCCTTGGGCAAGACACTTAACCCCACTTTGCCTGAAGCCCCCGCTGAATAATCTGGCTCCTATTCCTAAGGCTCCTATGTACTCACCACCTGCGGAGGTGGGGCACCGGAGGATCAGTGAGGGGCTGGTGTGCTGTGTACTGGGTGCAGCTCTGACTGCCACCCCCCAAACCCAGAAATGGATTAAAGGGAAGAAAATGGATGGAGAAATAATTAGGGTTAACCCATATTCAACAGGGTTTACTATTGAATGTGCTGGAAAACGGCTTCAAGTCTAATTGCAGCTCAATACAATGAAAGTTACAATTTTTATTCTTCTTGTTTTTTTCTACCTGAGATGTTGCTGCAGTACAGTGTTCATGGTTTTACACTGGTCCAGACCAGGGCAGAGAGGATTCATGGTAAATAGTCATATGCAATCATATGATTGAAACAATGCTGTAGTGAAGCATGATGTAAACAAAGATGACAACATGACGACACCAACCAGGATCATTTCTGTGTATATGTTATAAGAAACGTGATTCAAATACAATGCTTTTCGTATGAATTTGCCCTTTGATGACACAACTTCATTCAGTGTTTTGCAGATGTTGTTGATTGTAATGAATGAGCCCTCCTTTAACCATAGTGCCATTCAAGGGCTTTTTGAATAATAATCAAAGAAACACAGGACAAGCATTTGAAGGCAGAACACGGTGAGATAAAATGGCGAACAGAATTAGGGATTCAAATGGGGATTTCCACAGAACTGATTTAACATGTTTAAATGTTCACCAAACATACTTTTCTCTGCAATAAAGTGATTGTGTGTGACAACTTTGGCTCATTATTATACATGAAACACACAAAAAAAGTAAAACAGTGAAGATCTGCTTTGTAATGATCACAGTCGAAAAAACTATGAAGGTTTGCCATTATATATATAATCTGCCATTATATATATACTAATATTTAGGTGTTTAAAGTCTTACCTTTTTCCAGAAGGGAAGGCATCATGGAGCTGAGGTCACTGAACTGGAAGAAAAAATAACAAGAGGTCAGAGGAGAATGGCCAGACTGGTTTGAGCTGATAGAAAGGCAACAGTAACTCAATTAACCGAATGAAGGAGTAGAATTCTCCTCCGTGTAGCGCTCGAACCACACGTAGCTATTTAGTTTACCCTCTGCCATTGTTGTTTACGTTTGTTCTACTGCGCATGTCCCGATGTACATGCGGGGAGCAGCGGGGAGGGTGGGGGATATTTTCTTGGCACTCTTTGGGTCCCAGTCCCAATTGAGCATTGTTGCCACACCACACCCCACCTGAGTAATGTTGCTGACCATGTCCATTCCTTTATGACCACAGTGTACCCATCTTCTGATGGCTACTTCCAGCAGGATAAAACACCTTGTCATTATGCTCAAATCATCACAGACTGGTTTATTGAACATGACAATTAGTTCACTGTACTCTAATGGCCTCCACAGTCACCAGATCTCAATCCAATAGAGCAACTTTGGGACGTGGTGGAACAGGAGATTCGCATCATGGATGTGCATCCGAAAAATCTGCAGAAACTGCATGTTGCTATCAAATATGCACCAAACTCTCTGAGGAATGTGTCCATTACCTTGTTGAATCTATACCACAAAGGATTAAGACAGTTTTGAAGGCAAGAGGGGGTCCAACCCGGTACTAGCAAGGTGTACCTACTAAAGTGGCCGGTGAGTGTACTGCAACAAAATGATCCAATTAGGGGTGGGCGATATGGCCTAAAATTCATATTGCAGTATAATTTGGGACACAGACGATAGACGGTATATATTGCGGTATAATTTGGTCTGTGAATTTCAATGGGTCTAGCAGGTTCTTGCATAAAATCGTCAACATTGTTACTTATTGACTATTATTACTTACTTAAATAACAGAATTTAATATATATATTTTTTTAGTTTGAAAATCTGCTCCCACTGGTGATTGCTGTTGTTGTGTCCTTGGGCAAGACACTTAACCCCACTTTGCCTGAGGCCCCGCTGGAAGATCAAGGCTCTTGTGGACTCACCACCTGCAGGAGGATCAGTGAGGGGCTGGTGTTATGTGTACTGGGTGCAGCTCTGACTGCCGTCCCCCCAACCCAAAAATGGAATAAGGGGGAGAGGATGGATGGATGGATGGAGTTTGAAAATCAGATGTGTCCAGTCTCCACAAACAAAATCACCAGTATTTCATCCAGTATTTAATACATTTTAGCATATAATATTATTCCATACTAAAAAGACACCATACTTTTGAAATGCAGATTGAACTGAAAACCCTCTAGTTAGTGGGTAGGGTTGCCAACTTGAGAACAGAAAAATAAGGGACACCATTTGGGTGGATCAGGATTTTAGTCCTAATTTCAATCTACACAGGAATCATGGAATTTCATTAACAGTTTTTAGAACTTAATTTATTGTCTACATATAAAAAAAAATCCTTGGTCAAAAATTAAATAAATAAACAGGTGGAACTCTTGAGACAAATGCTGTAAAATACATTATTTATGTATGTTACAGTAAAGACCATTTACTGTAAAAGCTATTTAAAAAAAGAAAAACATATATTCATTTAATATGTAAAAAAACTCACAAATGTTGAAATCAAAGTCATTAGCAGTTAGATATGGTCATTATTAATAGTGTCTGAGAGTTAGGGTTAGGGTTAGGGACTCCGTTGGGTCCCGTGCAATTTGATTACATAATGACCTATCGCAATATGCCGGAATAACAAAAATCTCTATTGTTGGCCAAATTTTTATCGCATACTGCTTATACCGTTTATATCGCCCCGCCCTAGATCCAATAAAGTAAATGATTCAGCAAATAAATAGTAATAATAAACTAATTGTAAAGATGCTGTAATCATGCACGTCTAGCAGCGGCTTGTGTTGCTTTCACCTCTCCCATGACGGCAATAGGCGTCTCCCCGGTGGCCTGGGCCACGCGGTGCTCCACCAGGTAAAACATGTACTCGTCATACAGCAGGCGGATCAGGTGGAAGGAGCCAAAACTGGCTGCACTGCGGAGGGTCAGGTCCCGGATCACCATGGAGCTGCACAGACCACACACCAGAGAGAGACTTTTGTTTAGACACCCGCAGAACATAGAAGAGGTTCCCTTGAGGCACACAAGCAATGCACTACAGACAATAGAAGCATCAATTATCACCTTGGCCCCTGTTTGCCGCAGCTAAAACTCTGAGTACCTTTTTCCACAATTGTAATCTCATCCTCTTTCACTAACATATGCTCTGTGCACACATTGTTGGCTTATAAATACAGTACGTGAAAAATACAGCGTTTGTCAAAATGAGAAGCAAGATTATCATCTCTAAAGCACTAAAATCTTTTTTTTATTGTCAAGTATAGACTTGTTGTATAGAGAGTCTATTGTCGCAGAAACTGAAACTACAGCTTTGCGTGGTTTTGTTTGGACTGATGAAGGAGAAGATCTGCTCCATTAGTTGATCTGCCGCCACTGCAATTCACGTTTGTTCTCGGCTACTGCGCATGTCCAAATGTACGTGCGGGGCAGTGGTCAGCCAGGGAATTTACACCTTTTTCTTCACACACCCCCCTGAAACATTGCCTTCATGTAAACAAAAGGCCAATCTGATACCCAACTCTATAGTTCTATTGTTGCAGCGTCTCTGTGTAAACATCCCCTTAACCTTCCCTTATCTTATCTTGTGTTTATGTGCTCCTCATGTCTACTTTTCTGTAACTTGTGATGCAACACATTTTCCCACAGTGGGACAATTATGGGGCTTTTCCATAGTCGCGGTTTGGCACGGCACGTTTTTTTTGTTGCATTTCCACTAGGGTTGGGGTTGGGATTTGGGAACTTTTTTAGTACCGCCTCGGCCGTGGTTCCAAGCATGCCAAAGCTACACTATAATGTGACGTCAGCCGACTGCCTTAAGCCTAGCGTACATCGGACTGGCAACTGATTATATCCGTCGCATATGAGTTGCTGCCCCGCACACATGGACAATTTGACAAAAACGGGCAACTCCCAGTGGCAGACCAGTCTTGGGAATAACAGCGCGTACATCGACAGCAACTGGCCGTCAACTACAGTGTGTTTTCTGACATAAACTGTTGCGGGCTCGCAATACACGCAATACACACACGTTGTCGGAGCGGCGCATGGAGCGCGCACATCGGGTCATATCTCCAAAACTGAGGACAACTAGTTGCCGAAAAGTAGAACACGGGCAACGGACTGAAACTGGAGACCAACTGTTCATCTCCAGTTGTAAGAGCGCGCACATCGACCGATTTCGGCAACTGATCATCTCCCACCATCTCCTCTCAGTTGCCAAAAGCCGCCTTGCAACTAGTTGTCTCCAGTTTCTCTGTCGGTGTACGCTAGGCTTTAAGCCTAGTGTAGAGTTGCGCTGCGCAGAGCTTACGGTGGTGACGTCGCTTGCGCAACGCAAGGATCACCGCAAGACCTTTACGTAGCCTGCCGCGCACCCTCGAAAATGTCTAACTACGCAGCCGGCGCCGCAGAGAAGGTCTACTGTGATTGGTCCGTGTGTGATTACTTTCTGGGAAGCATGGAGGGGCTGCAGGGAACATGGACGAGGCACTCAGAAGCAGACTGCTTCATGCTTCAAAGGAACCGAAGGAAAAGCAGTTTGGGCTCATGGCAGAGCCTGATGTACGCAGAGCCCGTGGACTAGAGTTCTGTGGCATATCCAACATATATCAAACGTATAAACTGTGCAGTCGTTTCTTTTGCACTGTTCCTGTCTTTCTTTGAATCTGCACTAGTAACTTATCGTGTCTGTTGCATTCCTCTTGCACTTGCAAATAGTTAATGTTTGTCTCAGATATTTACCACTTATTGTTTTGCTGTTTGTGCTGAATACACTTTCATAATAACTATATGTTCCCATCAAGTCTTTAGTCACAACATCACTATTAAATGAGTTGACTACTGTAACATAAACCTACAGTAGAAACACATGTAATGATCTCAAACAGCCTGGTTTGCTATTGTTTTTGTTCTGAAGAGGAGAAAGTAGCAGCGTAAATGGGGCCGCTTTGGTTTCTGAGGCAACTCCTGTGAGTTCGCCATTACGTGGTTGGGTGTGGAATTACAACATTCTCTTCAAAACTATGCAGGGGGGTGCACGCGAGTGTAACAGCAACTGTGGCTACATAGGTCCAGCGCAACCGCAAACGTAACCAGCGTATCAATCAGTGTACACAAGCCTTTACACTGCTTGGCCAACAAGTGTCGTCACTGGAAGCGTCATAAGTGCAAAGTCCGACCACAACCAACCCCACCATTTCTAAACCAGCTGCTCTAAGACAACACGTCCTCCTAACCCGAGAAACATGGAATTGCACAGAAAGCCCCAAAAGTCAACGCTCTGGTCGGTCGACGAGGTCCACACGTTTCTCTCTTTAGTGGCCGAAGAAAGAATTCAAAGGGAGCTTGGCGGCAAAACACGGGGAAAAACGTATTGGATCTCCCTGCTTTTGGTTTGTGACTTTTTGTCTGAAGTCATCATGAAAATAACTGGTTACGTATCCTGTTACTTTTACTCATGTAAAAGTTTGATTGTCTGTTGCACAGTGAGCTAGCTACTTGTAGCTATCAATAGCAAGCTAAGCCAAAACTTCCTTTCTGTGCTAGTGTGCTGTATCTTGCTCTTTCACGTGTTGCCACGTTCTGTTTTGTGCTTGTACTTGTTGTTGTATTTAGGGCGACAGTAGCTCAGTTGGTAGAGCAATGGCCTTTGAGCCAGAGGGTCGTGGGTTCGAGCCTGACTCTCACCATCGACTCCCACTGTCTGCTGTCATTGTGTCCTTGGCAAGACACTTCACCCCCATTGTCTGGTGTGTGTGTCTGAATGGTTGGTGGTGGTCGGAGGGGCTGATGGCACATACTAGTTGCCTCGCTTCAGTGTGCCCCAGGGCAGCTGTGGCTACAGTAGTAGTTTATCACCACCGTGTATGGAGTGAATGAATAATGACATGTAAAGCGTCTTTGAGTGTCCAAAAAAGCGCTATATAAAACCGATGCATTATTATTATATTTATTTGTTTGAGAATCCCTTCCCACAAGTGAGGAGATTTCCAACGAGCAATGACTGACCGGCATACATTGTCCTCACCTGGACTCAAGAGATATACGCACTTTGGACTTTGTAAATAGTTGGCTTTGCACCATTTGTTTTTAATAAATGTGTTGTGGATAAGTAGCTACAGCATAAATAAGGGATCAATAAATCTTTACAATGTTGGGTAGTGAGGAGAGAGAGTGTTGTATAGTGTAGGTGATTTTGGCAACTTTATGGTATCTGTAAGTGAAAAACTGTGCTTTGCACTGTTTCAGAAGCTGCAGTGATATAGTGTGTCCACTAGATGTCAGTGTTATAACCTTGAATGCTACATCTGGCTGTAATCAAAGTCGTATAAGTTTTGTTTTTGTACAACACTTTCTTTCACGGGTATGACACATTAGAAACGCATCATGTAGAGACTGTGCTTGTGTGTGTGTTTGCGCAGGCACGTTCTTGTAGAAGGACTACAAAGGTGTCTGTGTGTGCGTGCATGCATGTGAGTGTGTGAGTGAGTGTGTACCTGTAGAAAGACCACTTGAGCAGGAACTGTCGTGCAGCCTTGGGGAAGCCAGGGCTGCCCTGGTGAGGCTTCAGCACTTCTGTGACAACGTTGTCCAGCCAGGTGGCCCACTGGTCCAGAGAGCTCTGCTGCTGCAGGGTCACCTTAAAGTCCTGCTCCAGACGCTGCACCACGCTCTCATCACACTGACACACCCAGGAGGCCTGCTCCTGTGGGAGAGAGCGCTGTTTGAGCCACACCTATTCACGTGTGCATAAAAAATGTGCACACATGGGCCCTCATTTATGAAACTTGCGCAGAAAAGAGTATATATTTTTGGTGTAGATTCCAATTACGTAAAATCCAGCGCAGGATTTATGAATGTGTGAGATCCGCACAGATCTGAGCGTACGCACCTGCGGGTGTTGATAAATGCCGCGCTCAAAACCAGCGTATTTATGAAAGTCACGCCTAGACATATTCAGAAACCACCTGTTTCACGCTCCGTTTTTACAAGTCAGCATGGAAGCCGGCCAGCAAGTCTAGTTGGAAGCCTCAAAAGGCCTGTTAGTGACACACACTGAGTTTATATTGAGTTGTATTTTATCATTTTGTTTAAAAATAAATATACGCTAATTTATGTATACACGCTTTTCCCTATAGTGACCCACTGCAGCACTCCTCTCTCTTGAACTTTAGAAGGGAATGAATCAATGAATCAAATCAATCTTAATATCTCAGCGGTGGCTCATCATTAACCGGGCTAAGCGTCTGCGGAATCTTCTTGTGAATGCAATGGAGCGATCTCTGTGAGAGAGAAAGGATGTGTAAGCTTTCGGGAAGTGTCCGTGATTTCACAGAGAAACTCTGGATCCAAACGTCTGAATGATGCGCACCGCATATTCTGATGTGGGACCTATGTGGCACCCGCTGCACACTGCCCAAAGAGCCACTGCTTGTGAGCCCGTTCCTACAGATAAGCGCATTGCCATCCTCTACATGCGGACAGGGCAGTGGCTGAGACAGTTTTGAGTGAGTTTATGTGGCTTTATGCACAAAACTAATGAAAAATGCTTTGAATGAGGCAAAACAAATAGCCATGCGTATTTACGCAGTTCAGGGCAGGTCACACATTAAGTAAGTAAGTCAAGTGTATTTGTATAGCGCCTTTCACAGACCAGGATCATTTTAAAAAATATACAATTTTTTTTTTTAAACGTGACAAAATAATACACATACAACTCAGATTTAAAAACGAAGAAACAGATGAGGGTCCTCATCATGATCTGTGATATATTCGAAATGTGCGTGTTTCCAGAGTGTTAAGAGTTTTTCTGATGCGCAAATTCAAATTTCGAAATGTGATGCTCAAGGAAAACGCAGCTTATAATATTGCCAGACTGGGAATATGTTTATTGTTGTCCAAATCTTGCATTTCATTGTGTTTTTGGCGTGTTGTAATGAAGGTTGAAATGTGTACGCTCATTTTAACCTTCATTACAACACGCCAAAAACACAATACTGAGTTGCATCCCAAGAACACCATACCTACTTTTTTTTGACATTCTGTCTCTCACAGTTGAAGTGTACCTATGATGAAAATCATTATTTTAAGTGGGAGAACTTGCACAATCGGTGGCTGACTAAATACTTTTTTGCCCCACTGTATATACACACACACACACACACACACACACACACACACACAAACACACACACACACTAGAGATGTCGCAATAAACCCTCCGGTTAACCCCACTGAGTGGACCCAGAGGAACCGCAAGGTCAGACCTTATCGGGTGGAATTGGTAACAGGTTTCTGAGGTAACAGGAACACGCCTAGTGTCGGCAGCTTTATGTGAAACCAGCTTCACAGCAGTCACTCGCTGGTGATGACATTATCACAGTCACGCCATGTGGCTGCTAGCCCAGACCAAAAAAACATGGTATGTTCACAGAAGACTTACCATCCATGTCCACAACTTTGCACTGCCACATGATCAACAATCAATAGGAATGTGAGGTCAACATTGGGACAATAATAGAAAGATTCTCCAAAGACAATGATTGAAAAAGAGGGAGATAGACTATTGTCTTGTGAGTCCATTCATGGAGCAACAAAACCCATGAACAATGAGCTAAACATATAAATATGTTTTGCCTTCAACATGTTTGCACACTTCTGTCTTTTGCACTAATCTGAATGATTCTATCCATGTCAAATGTGACATATAAATTTCTCCTGTGTGAGATCAATAAAGTCTATCTTGTCTTATATTAAACCCTGTCAAGATCACGTCACTGCTCAGTCAACCTCAGACAGTTAAAACAGTGGAAGGAACAGCCGCTGAAAAGAGTAATATTGTATATCATCAATCCATTTCCATTTCTGGGTCAGGGGGTGGCAGTCAGAGCTGCGCCCAATTCACAGGGCACCAGCCCCTCACCGATCCTCCTGCAGGTGGTGAATCCACAGGAGGATGGCTGCTCTATGGCATAAGCCTTGATCTTTCAATGGGGGCTTCAGCAAACTGGGATTAATTGTCTTGGCCAAGGACACAACGACAGCAGACATCAGTGGGGGTCGGTGGAGAAGGTCTTGTGTGGGGATTGGAACCACGACCTTCAGGCTCAAAGGCCAAGGCTCAATATTACAAAATAGCTGCATCAAAATGTCTAAAATGTGGACAATGTTGTTCTTCTGGAATGAGGCAGCAATATTGCACTTTATATCGTATCATTATATTGTAAATATATTGTAAAGGGTGGCACGCTGGCTGAGTGGATAGCATTCTCGCCTCTCAGCAAGAAGGTTCTGAGTTCGAATCCCGGTCGGAACAGGGCCTTTCTGAGTGGAGTTTGCATGTTCTCCCCGTGTCTGCGTAGGTTTCCTCCGAGTACTCCAGTTTCCCCTACCACTAAAAACATGTGCAATAGTTCAGGGTGAATGAGTGTGTGTTTGTGAGTGCGAATGTGGGACAACGGATGCAAATTACCCCATGGCTACAATCCGGAGTGATGTGTTCATTAACATGTACTGTCCCAACCAAACAAACAAACAAACAAACAATAAATAAATTAAATAAATAATTCTAACCATGATGTGCAGAGGACTGATACTGTCCAGCTGAAGACTACCTGAACATTGGCGAAGTCCACCCGGTTGAGGTCGGAGAGCATCTGGTTGATCTGGGAGGTGTTCTGGAGGACGGCGCGGGCAGCTTGAGCCAGGTGGTTTAGGCTGGTGTACCTCCTCAGGGTCTGGGCAAAGGCACTCACTACTGCCACCTGCAACACATGTGTGCACGGTTTAACTCATGCTGGGTGGGTTCATCCAGTAAAAGGTCCCAACTCCTGACCAAGCCCAGCATCAACATCTGGTTCTGAGTTCGATCCACTTTGCTTAAGACATGCGTTGTATAAATAATTTTGAAAGTACCATGAGTAGATCTAAATTACATTTTTACTAGCCTGGTCGTACCACACCATAGTACAAATTACATTTTGTACTAAGGTCTAAGGGTGCTCCATCGAGCTCTGTGTACAGGTGGGAGGGATTAACTCCTTTGGCATATTGAAATGATTGGATCTGAGTTTACCGTGACGTATGTAATGCGCCCGAGTCTGTCGTTAGCATTTAGCCTAGCCATGTCCTTTGCCGCTAACGGAGCCCGTGGGGAGTAGCGCCACTATTTTTTCCAGCGATTACATTTGCTAAACATTACCCTTGCTCCAGCTTCAATTTCTTGATAGAACCAGACCGAAGTACTTTACTATCGCATTTTTTGCAATTACCAAACTACAACCTGCCCGTCCGACGCAAACTCTTGACATCACCCACAACTAACTACAACACCCACCTCCCACGCTCGCTGATTTGTCGTTCGAAATTCAACCGATTGTAATCGCTAACATGGGGACCAGACCCAGGCGTTATATGCAGTGAAATGATGATTGAGCGGAGTGTACGGATGGCTAAGGCCAGGCTTCATTTTACTAGTCCTAAAACAATTTAACCAGTCAAATCAATGAGACGTGACAGATGTGACATGTACAGTAATACGGAAATTACTAGCGGCAGACTAAGACAATAGAAAAACATGAGCCAAGCTACACAATGCATCATTAGTGTTTTATAATGAAAAATTAACCAATGCCAATTATGAATACATTCAGAAAAGAGACAAAAGGAAACTTGTATTACCTTTGTGCGGATTATTTCATGAGGAAAACTGGTCATGGCGTTTGTCAGCCAGCCTTCAAGGCTCTTGGCAAAATTACGGATGGCTTGTGTGAGTGTGCCTGAGGAAGGAATACAACACAAGTATGATCTTTCAACAGGGGCTTCAAGCAAAGTGGGGTTAAGTGTCTTGCCCAAGGACACAACGATAGTAGACATCAGTGGGAGTCAGTGGAGAAGGTCTTGTGGTGGGCTTGTATGTCTTATATAAATTGGCAATTGAACAAGTGAGTTAAATATGATTTGAAGTTCACAATTGCTTTCTTTTCTTATCTTATAGCTGGAGAACCTATCTTTCAAACCACAAAGATTGCACCATGTAATATAATACCTCAGTATGTAAACAATAAGACCCTATCTGTTTCAGATGAAACAAAAAGCTCTAAACAAATTAAACCAAAAGTTCTCCAACTCGTTCCATGGGTACTGACCAACATACATGCAAATACCTCCTGTGGACTCACCACCTGCAGAAGGATCAGTGAGGGCTGGTGCTCTCTGAATTGGCTGCTGCTCTTACTGCCACCCCCTTCCCGACCCAGAAATGGATTAAGAAAATGGATGGATATTAGGGCTGTCAAACGATTAATTTTTTCTTGTTGATCAATCGCATAGTAATGGTGAGTTAACTCACGATTAATCGCATTTTAAACATTCTATTTGAAATCCACTCCAATTGAAGTTAAATGAGATTTTCAAATGTAATGACACATTGTTATTCATACCAAATGTACTTAAATCTGTTTGACTTGCTCACAACCTTCTACTTTTGGGTACAACCAACAAGAGCTGTTAATGAAAGGAAAAAATGTAGGTACCCCAGCTTTAATTTTGCGAGTTTGGTTGCATTTCAGCGTGTCTCCTCCTCTCCTCCGTGTGTCACACAACATCTGATAATGGCCCTGTGCGTATATATATGCGTGTATTATATGACCACGTTACCGCTGTCACCATCACACACGCACGTGTCCGCGGCATTCTGAGTGATATTATTATAAATGGGCGGGTCATTCGGACATGCGTTGACCTTGACTGCCAGCCTATTTCAGAACAGGTACTCTCATATTGCCAGCCGTTTCTGATGATTTTTACTGAATTTTCAACACCCACAGAATATTGTGTACTATGACTATCTGAAATCCAGATTCTGAAAGAATGGACTGTCTACTTTCATCAGCAAAAATATTTTTTTTTCTAGCTTGTTTCGTTCCCCTGTAATCCCCAGTCGAGTAGAGGTAAGTTTTACTGAAATCACCAGAGAGCTGAGAAAAAAGAGGCACATGTGCATCTAGCTGTTTTCAAACCATTCATAGAGCAATGCTGCCACCTGCTGGCTTGATAAAATATTGCCTCAAGCCTTACATATTTGATACAACAAACATCTGGGAACGTGAAAATAGCGGGAAACGCAATTGACGTGTTAACACGTCAATGACAGTTAATGCGTTAATTATGTTTTAACGCGGTAATGAAAACGGTAGTTAATGTGAATTAACGCGATAATTTTGACAGCCCTAATGGATATACTTAAAAAATTGTTTGTAAGCTAGACCACAAAAATTGGATTTTTAATTGTAGGGGTGGAAACCTCAGGGTACCTCACGATACAATACGATGTGCGATACAAAGCTTCGATGACGATTATCTCACAATATGACAATGCAAACATTATCGATATATTGGTCAAAAATATACCTACGATAAGATTTTTCTTATGTTTATGGCATAAATTAAGTGAAAAAATACACTTAATTTCAAGATAAATGGATAAAGTGTCATGTGTCACATTAAAGTAATTAAAGCAAAAATGTCTTTTAACCTGCACATTTTAGTAAAAATCTTACTTAATCTGTTTTACATCCAATAAAATCAATATGAACATTCTGCAGAAATTTTATAATGCAAAATGTAGCCATATACTGTATAAAAAGTATTGATACTTTTATTTTTCAACTAAAGCTTTATTTTTATTTTTTTAAATCGATAATTAGCAAAAGCATACAGATAATCGTTTGCTTGAGAAAGTATCACGATACGTCACCATATCGATATAGGAAGAGAGTAGTCTCCACCCAGTCTCAGGGAGAGTGGGTGGAAAACGTGAAATTGGCATTTTCTATATAGTCATTTAAGGTTTTAAGAAAAAATTCCGATAACTAAGGTGTGCGCACTCACGAGAAACAGTGAAGGGGGGTAAACGCATCTCATTGGTTTGTTGGGGATGAACAAATCCCATTGGTTTATTTTTTTCTGTCCGCTCCAAAATATGTATTATAATTTTTTGGAGACTACAGACATCTGGTCCATTCCATTACTATTTCAAAACACATGATAACTTGACTACTTTTAGGGTTTAGGGACGTTATTCCACAATATTAAAAAAAAAATGCGTCTGGAAAAAAAAACTGACTGCATCTTTAAAGGTCCATTGTGTAATATTTAGTGCTATCTAGCGTTGAGATCTTATATTGCATTCTATTAAAATACGGAAGCCGAGGAGCATTGTCAAAGACAGAGCTCCTCAACTCTCAGTCATTCACCAGACTGAGAAGGAAAAAATACTTTAGTTTGATAAATGACTGGATCTCTCCAAACGTCTCGGGCACTTGACAGTCAAGTAGAGGAGTGGATGTAAACAAGACCACGTGGTCAGACGCAGCACCCTGCACAGAGGCTGCACTGCACTGAGTTTTACCATGGATCTATTATAATATATAGTTTTACCAACGCGGTGTGAAGAGAAGAGACGCATGGAGGAATAACGTCTGTGGGGGCTTAAAACAACGATGATCAAAGAAGCAGGAGATTAAGCATACAACTGAGGGATTTTATATTTTTATCTTTCTTTATAATGTACTGTGATTACTTATGATTTGAGTTAACGCTGTCTTTCAGTGCGTGTGGTTTGCAATGTTGACACTTTGCTGCTCTGACGCTGGACTGCATAATTATTTTTCTAAAAGTTTGTTGTTCGGATCGTTCTTTTACATAACTGTGGTCCTCCATGATTCTTTTATATATCTGTAGTCTTCCATGGTTCCTTCTTCCAATTTGTGAAAGCATGGTGAAAGCAACAATATCAGTAGCTCATGTGAAATGAAAATGCGATTCTTGCATCCTTTTTGTCCCTTATCCACCACCGTTTTTCAAGATGGCGCATTTTCACCGAGAGCACCCCTCTCTCGTGGACACTTAAAAGTTAAATTCTAAGCAGCTGTAAAAATTACACAGCGTGGCTTTAAGTTAAGTCACAATTACTAAGTTAATTATGAAGATTATGAGCATTTTGTTGAAATCAAGCACCAGATAGATATTTTCATTGTTTGGCTCAACTATCCTCCTCAAGCAAATCTTATTGGTGGTGGTTATGCCAAGGAGAGGGACCGTATTAAATGTATTGAATTGAAAAAGGCTTACTTAACATTTTATTACATGGTCATATAGTGAAAGCATGCATGCTTTTGAAAATGAAATACAATTGAAGTTGCAGGTATCACCTTTAAAGGAAACCCAACATGAATAACAATTTTTTCTCAATAATGAGAGCAATAATAATGATCTACAGGTGTGATAAATCTTTCTTAATGAGGTGTATGCTTGTGTGGGACTGACTGGGCACTGGGCGCAGCACTTCTGGGATGAGGATCTCCACTAGAGCCTGGTACAAGATGTGGTCACAGCTCCTCATCCACAGTCGCACTGGCTCGAATTTACACAGGCACAGCAGCCTCTCCCGTGGGATCATGGCCTCCATGTCCTCCTCCCTGAGAAAGAGCACAAGTACAAACACTCAGGTTCTTGTGATGGTTTCCGGGTAGTGCTGCCAAGTATCTTTAGACGGATTGACAGTTTGAACACAAGGTTTACAAATATATAAATGTCTAGAGTGGAATCCCGCTATCTGCGATGTCATGAAATATGGCACCAGAAGACGTTTTAGCACTTTCAAAATATATTTCAAGATATTATGGTCCAAGCTGGATTCGTTTGCATATCTGGCAACCTGAGTAAGGCAGAGTAGGAGAGGTTGCAGTAGCACTTTTGGCCAGATTTTTACATACTGCTCCATTAATAATTGTATGTTTTATGCATGGCTTTATCATTGCAGAATCTGCCATTATTTGTCAATAGTTCACCTTAAGATCACAGACAGTGGTAATAAAACATTCCAATTTTGTTAAAGATGAGGTTTCAGATTTATTTTCAAATTTGGGACACGTAGAAAACATTTTGAGTAAATTCAATCTGTCTGTCTTAAATGTGTTGAACTTAAAATAGTAGTGATACTTTTTATGCAATAGTTTGAGAATGTTTCTATTTTCGGCACAACTCTTGAATGTCTTGTATGTCAACCTGCTAATCAATAAATTAATCTTGAATTCCATCATTAGGAAGTTTCTCATAAGATCCCTGGTATATTTGCTTATAAAGTAGTTTCAAGTGATGATAATCTGATTGTGATCCAAATGTTTAGGTGATAGAGAAAATAAATAAAATGAAGCTGCAAACGGCATCTAACGGCCATCGCCACATCTCTGAAATTAAGTGGCGTTGACGCATCCTTATCCTGGCTTTCGTAAAAGAAACACTGATATTGTAAAATTATAATGCATATGATCTCCATAGAAATTAACAAATGATGAGAGTCTGCACGCACACCATTTCAAGGATTTACATGGTGTGCGTTAGACAGGTTAAATTTACGTTCAAATTACACACTTACCCCACAGACGTGCTCACATCACTAGATGGCATGCTCGCATACCAGAAGGTCTGCCACAGTTTCTCTATGTAGTGAAACTGCAGGTTCATCACCACGTCCAGAGTGGCCTGAAGGGGGAGGAGACAACACAACACAATGAGCTCCCATAGCAACCAGACACACAACACAGGCCACACAAACACCCGTTGCTCGCATCAACCTGCAGAGCCTAAAGGCTATGGTGAAGGATTCAGCTGCACTTACAGGCAGAACCACATTACTACAGCCATATACATACTCGTCCTGAAGAACAAACATTGTACAGGATATATGTTCCTTTTGGACCTAAAACATGATCTTGAGACCAGTTAGTTGGGCATTTCTTAATTTTTCCTGTATTTTTCGATCATATCAATCAACGCAAAACTAATATAGAAGCAATTTTTAATTATAGAAAAGGTTCGGTCCATTACATCATAGTTTGAGGATTTGTGCAACAAGCATTTAGACAGGGGGTGCCAGAAGTTCCTGATATTAACCTGGATTGAGCTTCCAGGACTGTTTTTCATGAGAGACATAGATTAAAATAAAAAAAGACAGATGTTCAAAATATTTACCATTTTACAAATTTGTTTTCAGTAAAGCTTGTAAAGAATTTTTTGGACACTCAAAGACACTTCATAGAAATATTTATTCACACAAGGTTGGTAAACTCCTTTTAGAGCGACTACTGCTCCGGGCAGACTGACAAGAGAAGAGACTGCCAAGCTGAGCCATTGACTCATACTCAATGTTGGTTAGGTGTTTTTCCAAAGGACACAACAAAAGTTTGGTACTTTACAGTTGCAGCTGTCTCACTCTGGAACCCATTTTTTTTCCTTTGGCCCTTGTTTACTTTGTGGTTGCTGCTCATGTCCAATAAGGAAGTAACTCAAAGAGAAACTTGTATTTTATATCAAATAAGAATAGAAAATATATTTGTATGTAACGAGTAGGTGGGTGGAGAGGTCCTCCCTCAAGTGGAGGAGTTCAAGTATCTTGTTCACGAGTGAGGGAAGGATGGAGCGTGAGATTGACAGGCGGATCCGTGCAGCGTGCGCAGTGATGCGGTCGCTGTATCGGACCGTCGTGGTGAAGAGGGAGCTGAGCCGAAAAGCAAAGCGCTCAATATACCGGTCAATCTTCGTTCCCTCCCTCACCTATGGTCATGAGCTTTGGGTAGTGACCGAAAGAACAAGATTGCGGATACAAGCGGCCGAAATGAGCTTTCTCCGCAGAGTGGCTGGGCGCTCCCTTAGAGATAGGGTGAGGAGCTCAGTCACACGGGAGGAGCTCGGAATAGAGCCGCTGCTTCTCCACGTCGAGAGGAACCAGTTGAGGTGGCTCAGGCATCTGTTCCGGATGCCTCCTGGATGCCTCCCTGGGGAGACGCTGGAGGGACTCTGGCTGTGTCCAAAACGCTAGGCATCGGGCCGCGTAGGGTGGATATGTAGGCATCGTGACGTCACTTCCTCAAGCGACGGCTATTGCAGGGGTGTCCAAAACCACTTGGCGAGCTCGCCAAGCGTAGGCATCATGACTTCGTCTCTATGGAAACGGCCACTTTTGGAGCAGATATGAAGGATGCATCTGACGTATGCTTCGTTGCCTTCTTTTTGCCGAGTCACGGCCGCGCATGCGCAGAACTCCGTTTGGCATTAACATGTAAACAACAACTCGGAGCTGCTGGAGCTAACATTATGGTAAGCACTGCTATACTTTACTGTGAAGTTATGTCTATAGTAAGTACTGCTATACTTTACTGTTGAGTTATGAACACGACTGTTATGATAAAACACAGACATAAATTAGATCTGCCACAGATGTGTGTATTTATCTGCTGTAAATAAGCTCAGTCCCGAAAAGCTAATGCTACGAGGCTAGTTCATTCAGATTCGGTTTTTGAACAAGAAAAATCATGTTGTGTTTTATCTTTTAGGGAGAAACAAACCCACTGATTAATTATTAAAGCTACACTGAGGAAATAGTCACGTTTTCATGGAAAATCACTCTGCAGCACAGCAGCTATAGTATGCTAACACATGTTTTCTGTATTCATATAAAATAGATTGTGCATATCGTTTTTAATCCCATACTGAGACTGGGAAAACTGTATATATTAGACATATGAAATTATAGAATAGGCCAAGAATAATTATAAAGCCCTTTTCATACAATAGTCTAATAAATAGTAAACACACATTATACAGAGGTTTTGTTTGTCATGAATAAGACATTTGCAGAGGACAAAGTCCCACTTCCACAAACACAGGTTTAAAGTGGTTAGCCATGCTCATAACTTGATTATTTGGGTATATTTCTATCATATCATTCTTCTGTTTCCCCTGCTGTGAAGCTTGTATCTCTAATATTAAATACTGTAAGGATTTCTGTATTTTATTTTTAACCAGTTTTTTGCAAAGCCCCAAATAAATAGTATTAATTGAATATGAAGTGTAAAAAGAATCCTAAATGTGGGCTGTGTTTTAATGCATGATGTTTGTGTTCTTCTTTTTCAGAGACTTGTGGTGAAATTAAGGTCATAATTTCTCCAGCTTCACCTCCATCACCTCCTGCTTCACCTCCATCACCTCCTGCTTCACCTCCATCACCTCCTGCTTCACCTCCATCACCTCCTGCTTCACCTCCATCACCTCATCACCACATTATGAACTACAACAAACTTGTATATAATATTTTCCTTTAATCAGCAATCATGAATAGTTAGAACAGTGGGCTCTGCATCTCTGAAGACATGTAGCAGAAGGAGCAGCAGCAGAAGGAGCAACAGGAGGAGTAACAGGAGGAGTAACAGCTGCAGCAGAAGGAGCAACAGGAGCAGTAACAGCAGCAGCAGAAGGAGCAACAGGAGGAGTAACAGCTGCAGCAGAAGGAGCAACAGGAGGAGTAACAGCAGCAGCAGAAGGAGCAACAGGAGGAGTAACAGCTGCAGCAGAAGGAGCAACAGGAGGAGTAACAGCAGCAGCAGGAGCAACAGGAGTAACAGCAGCAGCAGGAGCAGCAGCAGCAGCAGGAGCAACAGCAGCAGCAGGAGCAACAGCAGCAGGAGCAACAGCAGCAGGAGCAACAGCAGCAGGAGCAACAGCAGCAGGAGCAACAGCAGCAGGAGCAACAGCAGCAGGAGCAACAGCAGCAGGAGCAGCAGCAGCAGGAGCAACAGCAGCAGCAGCAGGAGCAACAGCAGCAGGAGCAACAGCAGCAGGAGCAGCAGCAGAGTCCTGGGCGTCTGCCTCTGACACAGGTCTCATCGACAGCACTTCACAGAGAACCTGGAAATAAAGAAAACAAATCAAACTTGTTGGTTTTATTATGATTTTGTTGTTTGTGTGAAATGTAAAGAGTCATCAAAGTGAGGTATTATTTACACAACTACATATTTGTCAGCAGTACTTATACTTATACTTATAATTGAATACATTAAACTCAAATGTGATTAGTAACGGTCTGTTAGCTTTTCAAGAGATATAAAAGTGAATAAGAGCAGTGTCAAACATCTGTGTTCAACTCCATTTTACAGATGTCTGTTAATGTTTCCATGTGTCAGTTATTATTATAGATGAATGGATGTGTCAGTTATTATTATAGATCCATGGATGTGTCAGTTATTATTATAGATCCATGGATGTGTCAGTTATTATTATAGATCCATGGATTTTCCAGTTATTATTATAGATAAATGGATGTTCCAGTTATTATTATTGATAAATGGATGTTCCAGTTATTATTATAGATATATGGATGTTCCAGTTATTATTATTGATAAATGGATGTTCCAGTTATTATTATAGATATATGGATGTTCCAGTTATTATTATAGATAAATGGATGTTCCAGTTATTATTATAGATAAATGGATGTGTCAGTTATTATTATAGATAAATGGATGTGTCAGTTATTATTATAGATAAATTGATGTTTCTCTCTCATCAGCAAACACACGTTAATACATTTAGGTCTGATAAAATTACTTTTAAGTGATGCACAAACGAGGGCCATAGCAAATATATAATCCATATCTAATAATCATTTATTGCATATATGTGCATTGTTTACATAAAATATAACTTTGTAAAAACGAATGATTACTGCCAATACAATTGTTATAACAGAGAAAGTGTAACAACAAAAGCATCCTCTGTTTTTTCAGAATACGATTGTAAACATCCAGGGGGCTCTCATTACCTGAACCCGTGTTTAGACAGCCTGTTCTGGGCTTCAGCACTGCAGCTAACTGGGCTGTTAGCTTATAGCACCGGAGCTTCAGGCTGGAGGTAAAGTCCGAAAATTTTCGAATTTATCTCCAAACAGACTTCTGATATGACAATAAGAGGGGGATATTTCTCGCCTCAAATGATATTAGAATTAACTTTTATGTCCTAATTAAAGCGTATTTAGAACTTTTTACCGTCCATCATGGCCGCCGTGTCCTTCCGCTCCGCTCTGAGTTGTGTAGTCACGTGACGAAGGCAGAAGGCAGCTGCTGTCCAAATCCACCTCACGTCTCGCCTCCTACCTCGCCTGTGGCTACGCGGCCTTCCCTCGATGCCTACATATCCACCCTACGCGGCCCGATGCCTACCGTTTTGGACACAGCCTATGTCTCTCAGCTGGCCTGGGAACGCCTTGGGGTCCCCCCAGACGAGCTGGAGGAAGTGTGTGTGGATAGGGAAGTCTGGGCGTCTCTGCTTAGACTGCTGCCCCCGCGACCCGGCAACGGATGAAGCGGAAGAAAATGGAACGAAAACGGAACTAGTAGTAACTCTACACCAATTGTTGATGAATCAACTTTAATGTATGGCATGACATGTATAATGAGGGCTTAGAGGGCTATACTGTATTTAGAATGCAAACAAGTTTTAAATCAATATATCCTTAGTAACAATAGCTGCATCTCCAAACACGCAGCCGCAGATGTATGAACAATGCAAGACAAGGTAATTGCATTATTTGTGTTCTTGCTGTCCCAAAACAGACATTACTAGAAAGGGTGAAAATTCTAAATTTAGACCCAAATCTAATATTTTTCGTCTGAACATTGTATGTGTCTTATTACAGAAAGTGGGGTTCCATGTCATTAAAACGCATTTTGCACATGGACCAGAGCTAACCTTATGCTTTTACCACTGTCAAGGCCAGTGCGATGTGTAGGTGTAGCT